AAGACTGCCCCCCAAAGGGGTCGTATTTAAACTTTTGCTAACACTGACTTGTATACTTCTGGTGGTATAAACTGTGTCTTTATTCAAGACATGATTCTGTTCCTCTATGAAAGGTTGAGATACTACGTAAACAATCGCAGAATACGAAGCAAGTGGCTTATCAAAACGTCATTAACATTATCAATGCGACCCACGAAGATGCCTAGATTTCGTCATTTCTACAACGACAAAAGTTATTTCATATTTATCTTAAATGTTCGCATAGAACTTTGCCAGTTTTTTGGTCCAGCCAACCCTGAGTCGCGAGAAAACAAGAATGCACCGTCAGTATTGTGGCCATGCTTTATCATGTTCATGGCAAGACAAAACATGACGGACTTCCGGCTGACGTCACCAGTTTAAACAACACACAAACAAACAAACAAACAAGACAGTTAAGCCACAATTGACCATACAGGTGCCAGAATGCAAGGTTTCTGCGACGTTATTCTGTTAAAAACATATGGGTTAGTTGTAGTGTTGTAATTCGTTACTCAATAAAGTCAACAACCAAATCCCCCAAAGATACAACCCGTGAAGATTCCGGGGTAGAATAGGTCTTCAGCAACCCATGCTTGCCGTGAAAGGTGACTATGCTTGTCGTAAAAGGCGACTAACGGGATCGGGTGGTCAGGCTCCCTGACTTGGTTGAGGCTTGTCCTCGATCCATATTGCGTGGATCGATGCTCATGATATTAATCACTGGATTGTCTGGTCCAGACTCGATTACTTACAGACCGCCGTCATATAGCTGGAATATTGCTGAGTGCAGCGTAAAACAACAATAAAAAACCAAAGATACCATGTGTGTATTATTTAACAACATTGTATTCATAGGAAGATGGGTTATCACACACTGCTTTTGTTTCCACTTTGTTGGGTAAATAACAAAACCAGGGCTTGGACAATGGTAGGTTGAGCAGCAACAAGTGTAAGTAGGATTAGCCTTGTTATGGAAGATATGAGGTTGACATAACAAACCTCGCATTCATGTGTTTACCAGGAGAGACAACTGCTGCTTCTGGTGACTGTCCCCGATACTGCACGTGGTCCAACTGGTTCTCATGGGGAGGCTGTAGCACAGGCTGTGGCTGTGGAAATCGAACCAGGAGCAGATTACCCTGTTGTATATCATCACTGAGCCGGAGTAATTGCGCTGAGGACTGCAACTTCCGGGGGAACAGCAATGACACGAGGGTCTGCACCCATTTGTGCACCAAGAATGGTAATATCTAGGGATTTCCTTGGACTGACTGACTGAGTATTGTTTTACGCCGCTTTGAGCAATATTCCAGCAATATCTCGGCGGGGGACACCAGAAATCGGCTTCACACATTATACCCATATCAAGAATCGAACCCAGGCCTTCGGCGTGACGAGTGAACGCCTTAACCACTAGGCTACCCGACTGTTAGTAAATGGTACGATAATGATTATACTGTCAGCGGTTTGTAAGTGAGATTTGTCCTTCATCATTACGACCTAATTGTACACTAAACTGAAACCTTCCAGGAAAGAGGTGAGGTGAGGTGAAATGGGTTTTAACGTCGCGTCCAAGAATATTGCACTTATATAGCGACGTGCATGTACGTGTGTGTGTTTGTGTGGCTGCTTGTACTAGTCCGGACTGATGCTGATTTATAGTGCTAGCTCACTGAGATACCATGCCGCAGTTTAACATGAATACCCCACTCAGACACAGTATACTGACTCCGAGCCGACCAGTCCTTGTTTTAGCCCCTTAATGCCGAGCGCCAGACAGGGTAACAACAAGTACCATCTTTTAATGTCTTTTGGTATGACACGGCCGGGGATCGAACCCTGGACCTTCCGCTCTCCGGGCGGACGCTCTACCACAAGACCACGGAGGCAGTCTCCAGGGAAGAGACATTTAGGAGATGAACCTACTGTGTTTTGAAGTTTGATGTAGTCTCACTGTCGAGTAGATACCTCTTATCTTAATTTGGAACCGATCGCTGTCTACTCTCCAGTGAGAGGACTACGTCAAATTGCAAAACAGTAGGTTTATCTCCATTCTACCATAAAAGGTCCGCTGTCTTAGAACCAATCTCATTAAAATCAGATCTTAGTTCTCGCTATCGCTAAACAAAGATCTGAGGACATCCAATTATTGGTCACGTCAGAACGACCTTTCATCCAACCAATCAGAGCGTCGCTTTCCAGATCATGAAAGTGACAGACGGAATGTGTTTTCTGATCATGTAACCACGAAATATTTAACAGCGGGTATTCGGAACGACAGTTACGGGTTTTATGATTATATCCATACAATCTAGGCCATCTATAAGCCATTCCAGAATGGTTTTTTTTATCAGTTTTAAAATGTTTAACCGAGAATACGTCAAAATATGTTTCGAAGCGTAGTCGCCAGTTTGAAACTAGTGTCGTAAAGCTCGAGAAAGCTGCCTTCTGATTGGCTAATGTCTATTTCTTGTCAGTCATTTCATTGAACGGTCAAAGTTCGCGAGGTCGTTCTGACGTGACCCTTAATGGGATGTCCTCAGATCTTTGTTTAGCGGTAGCGAAAACTAAGGTCTGATTTTAATGAGATTGTCTTAGAACATTCCGAAAAGGGGTCACAGGTAGTTATAAAAGTAAAAAATATGATATGAGTTAAACATTACAATGCACATGTTCTCGAGTAGTTCATAATAAGGGTCCAAAACAGAAAGTTTTTCAAAAAGATGTTACCCTCCAAACTGATCCCAAAGACATGTGTTATAAATTCATCGCAACTCGTTGTCATTTCTTGGAAATCGAATATGCCATCGCCCATTGTATGGGTAACAGATTGCCTCGATCCGTGCCTCTGACAATATTTGTCACACGAAGCAAGATGACAACCCCGATCTATGATGTTGTTCAACATTAACCTGTATATTTACTGGGAAGAGGCTGCTGGTACAACGTGGTTATTACCAAATGAACGGGGGTATGACTGAACAGATTAAATTAGATTTAATATCGATACGGTATACAGTTCTTATCGGTGATCTGAGCCATTTGTTATGGATCAATATGTAGGCTATCGATGTTTTCATACGCATGTGTTTTGTGTGAAAAGGCTAAAATACAGAAACAGATGTTTCTCTTGCAAAATCAAGCATTCTTCATTGTCATGGTAGAGTACAAAGATAATTTGTATTACACAGTGCGACAAAAAAGCCATTACAATGATAAAAAATGGTCATAACATTTAGCTCAATTTCTTAAGCCTTCTTCACTTCACCACCTAGCATCATTTTGTCAAATTCGTTTGTAGCGTTCTCCTTTTGATATCACCCTTCACAAACATGTTCGAATTATATACCCTGCAAAAAAAGAAACGGAAAAGTGAATTTAGATGTACAGTTTATACATCAAATAAATAATCGACAAATGGTAATCGACTGTTCAAAATTGACACACATCATTGTCACTGACCTAGGCTCCATGTGGAACACATGGAGCTTTGGATTTTCAAGGTGAAGGTCATCTATTTATCAATATCTTGTTTGGCCACCATCAGAGTTTAAAACTGACTGGCATCGTTGTACCCATGGAACAATCAGATTCCGAATTGTTGCCTGAGGAATGTTCTCCCACTCTGTCTGCAGTGCTTATGCCAACTGTCGGGGTTCTGTGGTTGTTGCTGACGTGCTCACAGTCGTTGATCCAGTGCGTCCCATAAATGTTCGATTGGGTTAAAATCTGGAGTCAAGGAGAGCCATGGCTGGACCTGGATCTTGTGATGCATGGACAAAACTGTTGTCAGTCTTGCCGGGTGAGGTCGGGCGTTGTCTTGTTGGAAAATGACGTTCGCTTGCCGCATAATCGGAAGGACGTGTGGCCGAAGAATCTCTTCCCTGAAACATTGTGCCGTTAAATTCACCCAAAACTAGCACCAAGACTGTTCTACAAGCGTAGGAGATATCTGCCCCCATCATCACAATAACACCTCCAAACCTGTCCACTTCCTGTATGCAGTTTCGTGCATAACGTTCCCCGCGACGCCTGTAAACACCCGCACTGCGAAGCATAAAATGTGCAACTGGCCTCCAATGATGATTTGAACAGTAGTAATGGAGTGAAATATCTCCTATTAGCCAGAGATAAGATCATTATGATGATTTGAAAAGCAGTGATGCTGGTGGTATCGGCTCCTGACCTACAATATGATGATTTGAATAGCAGTGAAGCTGTTGGTATCGGCTCCTGACCTGCAATATGATGATTTGAATAGCAGTGATGCTGTTAGTATCGGCTCCTGACCTGTAATATGATGATTTGAATAGCAGTGATGCTGGTGGTATCGGCTCCTGACCTGCAATATGATGATACCATCACCTAAGCTTTGCAAATTGAACAGAACGCTGAAAAAAATATTTTCATTGCAATTATTACAACATCCATTTAGACAGGACTCGGACTTGCCCCCTTTGTTCCTGGAACGCGTGGCAGCCATGGAGCAGCTGTAGCCAGACATGTGGAGGAGGTCAAAGGACAAGGTCACGGTCACCTTGTTGCTGTGAAGGGCAAACCGTTAAGGACTGCCTGTACGACTGCAGCCTGTCTGAGAATGACACAGTTGAGTCCGAGAGCTGCAATGAAGTTTGTTTCAACGACGGCAGTTTCTCAAGCAGCATCTGTGAGTGTGTACGAGGCTACTCTGGATCCTGCTGCTCTGATGGTAGGATGCTTCTCTATCTTTCCATGTGTTTCTGTTGATCGCGAAGTGTGAACTGGGATACAAAATGTGTTTGGCCCACAACGATTCAAAAGCTTATATATCAGAAAGGGTAAATAATAACCTATGAGTGTTATATGCATCTCTGACTATAATTAACTTGATAGAATATCTGAACGTGATGAAGTGACATTAATGATATTCTTATCAAATCTTCATCTCATCATGGTTATTTTTTTTAAATCAAAGCTAATTTCATTTCAGAGGCAACACGTGACAATTGTTCCAAATGCACCTGGGCGATGTGGGAACCATGGGGACTTTGTAATGGTTCCGAGAACGGAGAAGTAACGAGAAAACGATCCCTCTGTTGTCGTGTGGGGCAGAAGGAAGACGAGTGTTACGCCCAGTGTAATCGAGAGAGACACGAAACTGTAGACGTGAAACAATGTGACCTATTTGTAGTGAAAGGTGGGTTGAATGTGGAACAGATACTTATAATGCCAGAATACTGTCAGCATAGTATTACGTTATCTATGTCTACCATGATCATGTCAGATCACTACCAGTACATACAATATATAGTTGCTGTGACCAGTCACAATATTGTTAGTACATATAGTATGTAACTAACCTGGTCATGCCAGAATAGGGGGCAAGGGTGGCCCGGTCGTCTGTGCAGAGTTGCGTCCCTTGGGCACGCCAGAAACCTATGAGTGTGGGTTCGAATCCCGGTTCGCCCCGATTATGTTTCTAGGATTGTCAGCACCATACCAGTGCTCGTGGGTTTCACCGAAGTGGTAAACGTCTGAGACCTGCATCACTTCGGGCTTTCCTCCCACATTAAGCTGACACGCCGTGATATAACTGGAATACTGTTAAAAGCGGCGTAAAACCCAACTCACTCACTCATGCCAGACTACTGTCAATATGTAATGTCAGAATACTGCTAATTTTGATCAGTTGTATGGCAAATGCTGCAGCAAATTATCGACTGCTGTGAACAAAAGAAACTTGGTTTGAATAATTTAATTTAAATCGTAATCAAGTTACCTACTGCTGAAAAATATATACTTCAGGAATGTAATGTCATACGCACTATTATTTAGTATATTTATCAATATGGTTAACATTTTCAGATTCAACACAAATTCACTTCATGTACACAATCATCGCCTCTGTCGCCTCCATCGTGCTGACGTCGCTTGTCTGGTAGGTATTCTTCTCTAAAGTGTATCTCGGCTACACAGTGTAGTCAAAATATTGAGTATTCACCGAAGTCTTATACCAAACTGGTAATTAATATGAGCATGGGTATCGTGCTTATAAACCGGTGACCACAATCAGGCTGAATCTGCATCCCACCCATCCCTGTATTACATAACCCCCCTCATGTGCCTTAGTTCAAATCTGCTAGTTACAAAGAATAGCATACGCCTACTTAACACAGCGTACCGTTGAGGAAAAGGCGACAGAAAGGATATCGTAAGGTAAAGTAACATGGAAGTGCAGAAAGCATGCATAAGAGATGCAGTTGTACGTAATGTCAATATTTACTTTTAGGACCGTCTGTCATTGCATAAAGTATGGGCAGCGAAGAACACCCCCAAATCAGGAACTGTCTGGCGTGGCCAACCATGCTACTGAAATGGACAACTATACCAGATTGTCTGCTGTGCGAAGAGACGTGGTTCACAACGACTACCAGAAGACATCTGAGGAAGATGATGGATGTGGGTCCGTGTATGAAACACCAGAAACCCTTCATATGTAATGCCGACCAGTGATACTGTATCGTGTTGAATCATAATAGTGCGTAAGTTGGGTTTTACGCCATGTTAGCGTTCTTGCAGACATATTACGGCGTTGGGAAGCAAGAATGAGTTTCACATATACTAGTAGTACCCTCGTACGAAGTCTTCACAGTAAGGGCCCCCTTACATTGTGTCAATATGTTTGCAAATTTCTTATCAAGATGATATTACCAAAATATAACAGTTTTAGTGGTTACATATGATTATTAATATTGGAACTTTCCAAACATAGAACATTGTCGAAACCAACTTCTGGTGTCCTCCGCCGTGATATTGATGGAATATTGCTAAATGCGGCGTAAAACCATACTCACTCACTCAAAAACAACTATTATTAACAGATAGAGGTTATCACTCGAGAGTGTTTTGCGAGTGTTTTGCGATAGTCAATGTGCTGTATTGGGAATAAACGTTGTAATTTGGGAACTAAACAGACAGTCACCAAAGGGAAGCTACTCTAGTCTGGCTCGCGTTTTAACGTTTTGTAACAGGATTATGAAATGAAGTCAGATTCCCCAAACAGCGAGAAACGAAAAAAGGTAAAACTGTTTTGTAAATCGGAAAAAAGACCTCAAGCACAGATATGGAATCCCGCTATATCTGCCTTGCAAATCTTCTTCACGATTTATAATCCAAAGTTGCCTTCACTGTTGAAAGGCCTCATCTACTCCCTTATAGACACGGTTGATAACGATAACAATTATTCCAGTAATTTGTCCGATCGTCAATTCTGAATCGACCACCAATAGACCAGGGCGACACCATATTTGTTTGTAAACAATGAACCTTATATATTTGCATATGTATCCTTAAATGCCCATAAATCCCCAGTTGACATATACCTTTTTATCCGTTGGGATAAATCACACTGAACCTTCATGTGGAGTTAACCAAACATGCGATGCATCCCATTCGACTTATCAGAAGCAGACAAAGCGATAAGAGGTGGGAATAGGCATTATAATGAGTGAGCTACTAACTTGAATTAGACCTTTCACAACATTGTACTGTATGTGATTAGATTATTCATGAGGTTTCAGGCAATTGCCCCAATGAACACATATACACAATAGTTTGTACAAAGCAGTGCATTTGAAGAAAAGTTACATATATATAAGGTTGACTGCACTATTGGAAACTCCATACCAAATTATGATAAATAACAATGGATGTTAATGCTATGTATGTCATTTATGCATTGCAAAGTGGCATTTAGAAATAAAATATAATAATTGTAGCAAAGCTGCTAGTATATTTACATGATGACAATACCTCAATATTTTTATGCTAAGGGATAACATTATATTGAGCATTTAGATATTTATTTCAAAACACTGAATAAGCTTCACATTCTAGTAAAAATGATATTCATTTTCTGAAATATTATTTCCAAAAGGTAATCAATGGGCACAAACTACTACAAACTATAATGTACTGTGTAGGAAAATTAGTTTGATGTTGACGATATCTTAAGTTAAATAACACACGATTGTTGAAAGATGTTATCAGTTCGTATCAATGAAACTTCATTATCTCTGTAGAATTATGCATGCAATGTAATGTTGAAAATACAATTGTGTAACGTGTTGTCAACAGAATGCTACCATTTATATACCGTAGACTGTTGTGCAGATATCCTGCGTGCGAGTGCAACAAAAAGTGTGATTTGTGTGTAATAAGCATGAAGTACACATAATAAATGCGCCATATTCAGAGGAATTCTCTGCTAAAAGCAAAGTCCATTGTACGATTTCGAGTTTAGGAATCACTATTAATTAGTGATTGTATTAGGTCACCCATTTCTTATCTCAGGATGCGACTATGCTTGTCGTTAGAGGTGACGAACGGGATCGACTGGTCAGGCTCGCTGACTTTGTTCATGTATATCATCGTATCCTCATATGTAGATCGATGCTCATGATGTCAATCACTGGATTGTTTGGTCCAGATTCGATTATTTACAGACCGCCGGCATATAGCTGAAATACTGGAGTGCGGCGTTAAACAATAAAGAAAAGGGTTGGCGAAAAGGTGAGCTTCCCCACCAGGGGCATACATAACAAACACATGCAAGGGCAAGTCAATTGTTCACCTTAAAAAACACAGGTATATATGGTACAAGTCAAAATAGGGAATTCATTCAGACATAATTTGTGATACTGATACGACATGTCTTCCATAAAACGTTTTGAAAGTTTTTTTTCTGGGGCCTTGAATGTTGTAACCCTGGTTACACATCTCTTGTGCAAGAGTTGTATGGCGCTTTTTTAAATCTCCATAGAAACAGTATAGTCGACTGTTCTTCAAAAGTTGTCAAATGTTGACAAAGGCTAGAGCTGCTGGAATATTGCTCGACATGAAGTCCTCCGTCTCGTCAGACAGTCGTGTTGAGAGTCTTTTTGTCACTAGTGGTGAAAAATCAAATGTTTTGACAGAATTGAACTGGTGTCTTTTCTGAGATTGCAAAGAATTACGAAAATTAACATGGTATTAATTCTATTTGTATCAAACATTTTCTTTGAAAATATAGAAATACCTCGCTTAATTGTATTAACAATGGTAGTTAATCTTTGAGACAGAGATTTGGTGGTACATTTGCTGGACCCAGCAACTAATATCTCATTGTGAGGATTTGTGGAACTTAAGTGTTTAAATATACCCCATGCGCATGAAACATGATTGGGGGGCTACAAAAGTTATTCGAATTCACTGTCACAAGTGGAAAACACTGATGCCATTTAATGCTCCTGCGTTCAGGTACCGTTTCACAGAGCGACAGTCGTAAGTCTGTATTAAAGTATAGGAATTACGATACTTGAGTGCTACCGTTGTCACACTGGGTCCAACTACATTGTTCCCTTTACCTTTGTGATTATTTAACCCGTGTATGCGAATTAATGCTTTGTATCATAAAAACACCCATGTGTTACCATCTAATCTTGCTTAATTTCTATATTAATTAATTGTTTTGTTCTTGCCTCAGTTGTCATTGTTGCTGTTTTTTACTCCTATTGCTGTTGTTATAAACAGACCACGTCACATATCCAAACCAAGTCAGATACCCAACTCCCTAAACACACATCAACCCCCAACACCGAATATCAATTGGGGGGATCCTGGGTCGATTTCTGGTGGGAAAGTTTATATAAATCTACAACATTACGCGATAATATGCAACATATTGATCAAAACATCGTCACTGGCAACGATACAAATAACATAATTTATGTTACGCAATGTAATAGATGAGAAGAAAATGTAAATCATAAGGAGCATATATTGGTGCAACAGTATAAAGTCCACGAAACTTTGGAATACACAGTAAACATGCATGTAACATGTCGAAATATAAAACTTTCATGATGAATCAACTAGGCGCTACAGAGACTATGCTGCGGATAGCTAACCTTTTATGGATAAGAAATCCTTTATTTCCCTTAGGGCGTTTCAAGGCTAATTCTTGTCCATTCAAGAATTCACCTGATGATTGGGAAGAAGTAACCGTGAAACGTCACCACAAACAAATCACCAAGCATTGTGTCTTCCTGTTAAATCATCTAATCAATGCCAATTAAATAAAAGCGACAAAACTCTTTCCATTTTAAATAAAAATCCCTGCTAAAAGCGGAGTCCATTGTACGATTCCGACTATGTCATGAGCATGTGTTTACATATCACTATCAAATAGTGATGATACCAGGTGTTCGCGAAAAAGTGAGCGCTTTTCACTAAAATCAGTGACAATTCCGAAAAAGTTATTTTCAGTTTAACTAATTGAGTTTTCTTTTCATTCAACTCGCAATAATTCATAGTCGTACGACTAATTATAGTAGGATTACTGCTGTGCAGCGTCAATAAATACTTACTGTTTTATGCAAAATGTATGAATGGTTGGTGAAACCGGTAGGGCAGGAAATGCTTACCCTTTCGCGAACACCTGGTGTCATCACTGGTCTTCAGTGATCCATTCATATAATTCTCACAGCAATTTTGCACTTCAAGCCTAATGGAATCTTTTTCTTCTTTTTTTCATATTATTTTTGGTTTACTTCTTCTTCTTCTTTTTTATTTCCCGTATATATGTACATATACAGTTCTAATGTCATATACATCGCAGAGTATTCATACCACCACCAGCATTTTCATGTAGATCAGAGGGTATTCATACCAACATACCAACAGTGTTTATCATCCAAAACTGGCTCCCTCAGGAGATATCGCTTGGATGAGATCAAGCGATATCTACACTGTAGATATCGCTGCAATGAAATTACATCACAATGCTTTGCAGACCATTGTGACGTCACTGGTTACCATGACGTCACAATCAAATGACATCACTAATGGCTCTGCTACTGAAGCTGTTTGCAGTACTTTTTACACTAAAGACACTGCTAATTACTGTCTACAAATTGAAAAAGTTGAAAGAATGATGTTGGATGATAAATAAAATCTCACCCTCGTGTCTTTTGATATCAAATATATCAACACTCATTGATAAAAGTGGCAAAAATCCTCGGCAAGCCTCGGATTTTTCCACTTTTATCAACTCGTGTTGATATATTTGATATCAAAAGACACTCGGGTGAGATTCTCTATTTATCTACACATGCAGGTTTGTTAGAATATTGGTCGTTTTTCTTTTTGAGAGATAATATTAATGACATTTATTTAGCCGGACTTTTGAAGATATTCAAATGTTATACATAATTTTTTTAAATGTACCGAGAATACGAAAACTTCACTAAAATACCGAGAAAATTAGCTTGGAGAAACTGTCCTCATCTTTTGTATTTGCAAACAGAGTATGGAAAGATGACCAGTATGAAACAAAACTGGCTTGGTTGCAGTTTACAAAGGATCTTTTCTGTTACTGAATAGAATTCTAAAATTTCTCTTTGAATTTGTTTTAAGATTGACCTTTCTTTGTTTTACTCATATTGTATATAAATTGTTTTCCTCTCCAAACTGTAGTATTCAAAGGATTATTATGTTTACCTTTAAAGCCAAATATTATATTTTCCTGAGTCAACATTATTTTTCCTTCACTAACGGTATATAGCCATACTGACATATCTTTCCATATTTCTTCAACATATTTGCATTCACATAATAGATTATAATTGTTACATCTGTACCTTTGCAAAAGGTGCAGGATGGAGAGTCGATATATTTTATCTTGTATAAGAATACATTTGCTGTTATGATATTTTTTTTATTTTTTTTTATTTATTTTTTTTATTTATTCATTTATTTTATTTTATTTTTTTTTTTAAATTTTTTAAATTTTTTAAAAATATTTTTTATATATTTTATTTATTTTATTTTTTATTGATTTATTGATTATTTGTTTGTTGTTGTTGTTTTTTTTTTGGGGGGGGGGACTGAAACCATCTCAATTTTACCCTTGTAGTGTATCCATGTGAATTAAGATTAACATTCATCCATTCAGTTTCTTCATATTTCTTACCCATTATATTTCCCACATGTCTTGGTTTTGAATTTTAACAAAACATGTATTACGTAGTTATTGGTAAAACATCTTACTTCCTTTTTTCCAATAATGTAAATTATGTTATGTTGTGGTTTTATTATCCACGGTAATGTTATTGTTGTACCATATTGACTGGTTTATTAATTCTGCCTAGTTTTTTTTGTATTACCACGGTTTTTTTCCAAATAGCATGACCACCTATTTAATACATAGTGCAAAAATTTGTTTAAAATTTGGGTACAATACGTTCAGCCGTGTATAATGAATCCGCCATGTATTATGAATATTCTGTCTATCCATGTAAGGTTTTTGTTGAATATGTTTAACTTTTGGAAACACTAACACCTCCATATCCAGGTGCTAAATGCACAATGTTTCTTTTAATTTTACCTCTTTTTCCTTTCCAGATAAATTTATAGCATCTGTTTATGTTTGAATTTTAGTTGTTCTGGTGGGCTTGGAATTGAAGAATTTGTTTTTGAAAGTTTTGATAATAATAATAATGATTTCAGTACAACATTTGTCCCCGATGTTCATTTCTCTATTTATCTTTTCGGATTTTCTTGATAATAAAGTTGAGTCATTTCATCTGAGTCTGCATCAAATTCAATCCCTAAAAGTTTAAATGGAATCTGTTTGGGCTGATAATCTAGATGGGTTATTATCTTGCACTGACAATTTATATATTATATTGAGAGAGTCTTGTTCAACATTCAGCAAGTCACCAATTTTGCATAACATTTTTGTATATCATCTTTTTTTATATTTGCAGGTTCTATTTATTTTTCTCCCCTTAGTTTTTGTTACAACACATTTTAAAGTGGAGCTGGGATGCACATCCGGGTACCCATTTTCGTTCTTGGTTTATACGTTGTAACTGGTGTGATGAGTTTATTTGCATCAACTGCTAAGAAACAACATCAGTCAAACAAAATGGGTTTTGAATTACTTCCATTTTGCAAACTTAACTTTTAAGTTATCAATACCTCTCCATCACTGATGTGTGTGTCAATACCGTTTGGAAAAGTTTATATATGTTACCGAGGACTGTATTAGATGTGTCACAGTATTGTTTCCTTCACTTGACTAGAACGATATTCATCGCCAATATCCATCTCTGTTACGCGTGTCAGAACGGTTACATTTGAGCAGATTAGAACAATATCTATCGTGCATTGTTACCCATCCCAATAACTTTGGTCATTTGTGCTTCTTATTTTTATCTTATATTTGCATGCACATCATACTCGCCAATAAATTTATTTTAACCCATAAATACGTGTATTTCTGATTTTGTATGGCCTGGCAGCTATACTTTCTTCTTATAAGGATCTAAGTGTCTTGTAGGTATTTGTAACATTACGTTCCCTGTGAATGAATGAATGAATGAATGAATGAATGACAGACAGTTAACATCGATATCAGTTGTCGTGTCTGTGTGATGATGAACTAACTTGAGAATTGAGTCTTCGTGTCAGCTATACCATACACTCAACTGATATAGGTATAATTTGTTGTATGAAAGCGCTTTTCACAACAAAATAACTGGACAGGAAGTGAGTGCACTTGTTTAAGGATGTGTTTCGACAGTTTTTATTCAGTTACCGGTCAATCTCATTAAAATCAGATCCTAGTTCCCGCTGCCGCTACACAAACATCTGAGGACATCCCATTACGGGTCCCATTCAGACCGACCTTTCGCAAACTCTGATCGACCAATGGAATTACTGTCGACATTAACCAATCAGAAGGCAGCTTTCTCGTGCTTTACGGCACTAATTTCGAATTGGCGACTACGCTTCGAAACATTTTTTTGACAAATTCTCGCTTAAAAATTAGACACCTGAACAAAAGAAAGTTCTAGAATGGCTAATATATGGTCTAAATTGTATAGATTCGGCCGTGAAGCCCGTAACTATCGTTCGGTATACCCCGTTTTAACGTTTTCGAGGCTGCATGATTAGAAATCACATTCCGACTGTCACTTTCATGATCTGGTAAGCGACGCTCTGATTGGTCGGATGAAAGGTCGATCTGACGTGACCCCTAATGGAATGTCCTCAGATCTTTGTTTAGCGGTAGCGAGAACTAAGATCTGATTTTAATGAGATTGGTTAGGGGTAGATCATTAATGCATTATGTTTCAATTATTCATGTGGTGGATTCTTGTTGCTGACATTGTGATCTTTTCCGGTTATTTTCAGTTGCCAGAGATTTGTCAATGCCTATCGCTAATTCCCTGCACTGTTACACTGGTTGTACTTGAGGAAATCAATGGAGAATACTTAAATTCACACGTGACATATTTTATATCCATTTCAATAACAGCTTAGTTTGACGTTGTAGTTGGAAGTTTACCTCTTTAGGGGACAGCTGCAATACATAATGTACAGAACACCGGGTGTTTTAGTGTATGCATACACGTAATGCCTTGACTTTAAGTCTGAAGAGCCATAACGTGTCCAAATACTCCAGATCCTGGTCATCACATTAACATCAGTTCCCTGTGATGCAGGCCACATTGTGACGTCATAGAAGAGTGCTGACCCTTGTTTGATGCGTCGGTTTTTCGATTCATACCTCAATGAACCGAAACAATTACACAGTCAATGCTTAAGATTAAATTCGACAACGTAAAACATGTTTTATCTACAATAGTTTAACAAAAAACAGTTGTATATATCCAAACAGACAAAACTGACGAGACTGATAAACATTCCAGGTGTAGGAATACATACTGGAATCGGATCCCGCCCCCATCCGACCACGCCCGAGTCACCCCCAGAGCATCAACTGCCTACAGTGCGGCGTTAAACTAACAAACAAACAGAAATACAGACATTTACTACTAATATAGTAAACTCTATAACTAATCCATTCCCAAAAGTTTTAGGCGAATAACCTACTCAATTACAGATACCTTCTTTATGCAAAAGAAAAGGTTGTAGGTATACAGGAAAAAGTGGGAACGAAAGCCGAAACTAAGCCTCTTTTCCTCTGTGGCCAACTGACTTTTCAACAATAAAATCCTTATGAGATAGGCTGACAAGAGTAGCCTCCCTTATACCATAGTTGTCAATGTGCGTCTTCAACCCCATCCTCACACAAAGACATGATGATATCAGCTTTGGGGTGCGGACAACCCCAAGCCACTGTGCGGTAGTGCGTCCCACATTTATGATAGTGGTTCGAATCCCAGATTCGCCCTGATTAAGATTCTTGGTTTGTCACCACCATATATATGTCAGTGCTCGTGGGCTTCACTCCCGGTTTGTCAATGTAAATTGTGACGACGAGTTGGCGGTGTCTTCGATTTCACCGCATCCCACACAACTAACCCCGTTTATCAAGGACATTGAAGCGGCAGGCGAGATCAATGAAGCGAGAGCCACAGCCGTCAGCCTGAGCCAATTAGCGCAATAAGGTGCGAATCATAATCATGGAAATATAGACCTGTAGTACGCGGTCTACTTGGTGTCGGTTTTCCCAATTAGCAAAAGACATTTTCTCTACAACCCTGGCATTTTTTTACGATGTTGGTTGGTTGAAATTGTTGTTTAACGCCGCAGTCTGCAATATTCCAGCTATACGACGGCGGTCTGCAAATAATCAAGTCTGGACCAGACAATCCAGTGATTGATATCATGAGCATCGATCCACGCAATTGGAATCGATGACATGTATCAACCAAGTCAGCGAGCCTGACCACCCGATCCCGTTAGTCGCATCTTACGACAAGCATAGGTTATTGAAGATCTATTCTATCCCGGATCTTCTCGGGTCGTTTTACGATGTAACTTGCTGGAACATTATTACACATGTTAACCTTATACTTTAATGGCTGATATTTTGCTTCTAGTCGTATTACGACGGATAAGCGTGCGGCGATAGAACTGTCACGATTCAAGGAAATAAAGAGCCGTGGCAAGTCTAGAAGGTGCGTTTTGTTGTCAAGGAAAGACAACTCTCGTTTTCATGTGACGTCAATCAATCAACATGGTGAATACAAGTTCCTGTTAGGCCTTCGACCCTAGATATACAGTGGCGACAGAAAAAGAGACGACAAATCTCCTGTGGACTGACGATTGAAAAGTCATTGTTGGTAATATGCCCGAGTGTTATTATATTCGTCGTTACATAGTGTGTATTAGTGAATATTATAGACTCCGTAGTCATTAACATGTTAGGCTCAGCAGTAAGCTAGATTCAGATTTTGACGATTGTCTGCTATTTCGAGGAACTTTATGTCAAAGTAGCCTAGTGGTCATGTGGTAGAATCAGAAAATTGGCAATCTAATTGTCACAGTGTCTTTGCTCAAGTACTGTACTAATTTGTTCCATTTGTAAAATTTGTAAAATCTTTCACCCTGTCAACACCTTCGTTTACAGCAGAATCATGTACCTACTGTCTGGACAAAGCACTGTCCACTGACTGGGAGTGCACAGTGTTTAGAGGCGGAGATAGGTAGATAGGTGCAGCCATATTCACAAATGGATAGACCCCGACTGTGGCGACATATGTTTATTATTTATATGTTTATGATTTTATATTTGCCACTTCTTCCAGGGCAGGGACAACCACAGATATGCCGATAATAGTATAATCGAAGTACACTGCCCAAACCATTTATTGTCAATACTGTGATCAGCGTATATAATATCATGAATTATTATAATTTCAATAGCACTCATTTCCGAAAATTGTCTCTGGTAATGACTGCTTATTTTGCAATCTCATTCATCATGTTCGTAGACGTTTATTTATTTTGAGGTAAACATTTTCTTGAAAAATTTGATTGTTAAAAGTAAAGATTTGAATGCTGTGGTCGATAGGTGAGATATAATGCAACTGTACAATTGCCAAGGAATCACTTCCAATTTATTTACTCTTATATATTTCCAAAATGAAATACCCGTGAAGTTATGGGGTAGAATAGGTCTTCAGCAACCTATGCTTGCCGTAAAAGGCAACTAATGGGTGGATCGATGTTCAGGATGTCAATCACTGGATTGTCTTGTCCAGACTCGATTATTTACAGACCGCAGTCATATAGCTGGAATATTGCTGAGTGCGACGTAAAACACCAAACCAACCAACCAAATCAAAACTGAAATGTCGCAATGTAGTTGTTACTATGCGCTGATTAACATATGATATATCGCTGATGGAGATATAAGATAATTTCTTGTAGTCATCCAAACATTTCCCTACTTCATGTTACCAGCCAGTTCCCCTTGATAAGTCAGTTAACAAAGTAGAAAAACAATTTCAATTCTCCCTGAATAATAGTTTTCAGGAATAGTGTACGTGCTTGATGTGGTATGGCATTAATTAGCACAGCAAGCTGATAGCACTGGGAAGTGTTGTATCGGACTCAGTTTCCTTGTATACCTACGTTTTTGCTTTCGTTTCCACTGTGCATTAGTTCACCAACGAGTTACTATGGTTACTTCCCCAATAGAAGTAATTTAAGTTTTGTTGATACCCAACAAAAAATCTTTAATCATCACAGGTGGAGTGAAACACATAAGCCCTAAATTCCGTTATCAAATAGATGACTGTTTGATTGGCATTAGAAGTTGGCAAATAAGTAAGAAAAATGTACAACTTAATGGACAACAACGTCTCCAGCTTGACAACGGTGTAAGAATCTAGAGCAAAACGTTGCTATATATGCAAAAAGCCAGAAGTTGTGATCCCTAAAGTTGTACTGTTTTCTTACTTATTACCCAACTTCTGGAATGTCAATCAAACAGTCATCTATTTGACGTCTGTGACAATAGAATGTGTTTAAACTACGGTTTTGAACAAATATGATGCACTAAGATACAATGATTATTATTGTTTTTGTTATCTTTAGGCCAAGGCATGACCATGATAACAATGCTAAAAAATACCAATCTCAGTCACAATTTGACAAAACAAAGCTGAACTGATGTATAATCATAACTCACTCACTCATTAGCATTGATTAGGATCAGATCTTTTACTCACTTCAATACCTTTCTGTCAAGATCCAACAAACCTTTCATTTTGTCATGTCAGTGTATCAGCCAATCAGCATATAGACTTAGTTTATCTCAGTATAAACATGTGGAGAATTCAGAGCAGCTTTTCTGATTTTGGTATTTCAAAAATGAATGTAAATGGGCAGTTCCAAATGGAGAATAATAATGGCCAAATGTTTCAATCCACAACAGAGGACTTTGTTTTAGCTTTTGTTTTATTTCTACTACACTAAAAGTAAAACAGCAATTAAAAACTGTCCTATCAAGGCTGCCAGTTAGATCATGAAGGTGAATAATTTAGAAAGCTGATACCTGATTGGCTCAAAACCCCATGTATCCTTCATGTTCACTGGTCAGAGTTCACTGAGGGTTCTCCTGACCTGACCTCCAATGGAGGGTTTGCCAGATCTGTATACCTACAGGGAAGATGCCAGTCTGCTGTTGTGAAGACAAGGCTTGGCTAAAAAAATCAATAATCAGAATTATCGTTCATGGGAAGAAATACTGATTATTGATATGAAAATTGTGTCACTCATAATATCTTACATAACCTATTATGATGAAATCAAATTTTACTTTACCGAAGCAGACATATTTTTGTCCAGTGCCGAAGACGGAAAGCAACTGATTTTTTAACATCTCACATGTTCACAGAGTAATCAATGTAATTTGTGACCAATCACCAGTGAGGTAAAATATGTTGTTTTGTCTGAGCTTTTTGCGTATTTGCTTGAAGTTACTTCTCCATATTTATGGATAATTGATAGATATCGAGTATCGTTCTCAAAGATGTATATTGATATCCAGTCCGAGTGAAGACACAGTTGTATGTCATAAACAGGGTTGGTGAGTTCAGCTGTAGACCGTTGATGCTCTGAGGGTGACTCGGGCGTGGTCGGATGGGGGCGGGAGCCGTGGGCGGCCAGCAGCATCCAGGGACAGTTGTCAACGGTCAAGAAATTTTGTCAAAGACCATGGCCTGTGAGTCATGTGCTACGGAGTTCACAATCTTCAAACGGAAGGTATGTACTTTCAGTTTTGTTTTGTTTGTTTTGTTGTTAACGCCGCACTCAGCAATATTCCAGCTATATGACAGCAGTCAGTAAATAATCGAGTCTGGACCAGACAATCCAGTGGTTGACATCATGAGCACAATTGGAATACGATGATATGCATCAACCAAGTCACCGAGCCTGACCACCCACACTGTCACCTCAGAGTTGAAAATCAATGGGTTCTTGCCATATGTAACCCAAATGTTAAACGTTAAAGCTTGAGATGACGCCCTGATTAATATATACAGTAGAACACGGATATAACAAACCCGGATATAGCCAACAAACGGATACAACGAACTGTTAAAAATTCCCTGATTTATCTCCTATAATATATCATATAAAATTTACGTATATAACGAACTCTCTCCAGCGAACGAACGGATACAGCGAACTGATATCTGATCACCGACAAGCCCATCTATCACTAATTAGTGACGTGTATAGCGAACTGAGAAATCTCACTGAGTGTCAAGTGTCACTGACAATTGGCTGTACGCAATCAGTGGCGAATCAACACAATGGTGGCGAATCAATACAATCAGCTGTGACGGACCAACCTTGTTAAATTTGCATTGTGTTAATCTTACCTGTACATGTAATCTTGTCTGTTGAACAAACATTAAACATATACATTTTACGAGATTGTGTCCAAGTGTCAGTACACTTGCATATGCTATCATGGCGGGCAATAGTAAGAGGAAAGCTATCAGTTTAGACACGAAATTGAGAATTATTAATGCTGTTGATGCTGGCATAAAAACCAAGAAAGACCAATGCTGACGAACTTGCAGTGAAATAAGGCCATGAAGATTTCACATTAACACTGCAATTACGTGTATTGTGTTTTGTCTTATCCAAGATGACAGACGTTTCCGATCGAAAACGTGTATAACGAACAACGGATATGATGAACTGATTTCTCTGGTCCCTTGTAGTTCGTTATATCTGTGTTCTGCTATATTAGAAAGCAATTCCAAGTGATTTAAGGTAGAGAATCCATGATTGATATGTAGAATTAAATCGATTTGATTATTAAGAGTTTGAGGATTCAGTGAGTATTGTTTTACGCCGTTTTTAGCAATATTCCAGCAATAGCATGGCAGGGGACACCAGAAATGGGCTTCACACATTGAACCCATGTGGGGAATCAAACCCGGGTCTTCGGGATGACAAGCGAACTCTTAACCACTAGGCTACCCCACCTGAGGATTCAGAGATAACATCATGACAATAATGGAAAAGACTGGGACCTGAGAACAAAAAAGAAATCCATCTTGAACAAAATATCAGGTCTCCCAGTTTGCAGGAAGATAAAGTGATCAATCCCTTCTCTTGTTTCAAAGCAACATTGGTAACCATTATCTGTATCACAGTGGCATGGAAATAATCAAATCAAAGCCAGTGGTTGATATCAAGAGCCATGTCTTGGCATGATGACACACAGTCAGCAGTGAGTGGGTACCTGGTAGGATGAGATGGTAATGTGACTCACAGGCAGCTTGGTTGTATGCTCCCAGGGAGCTGAGAAAGAAAAAAGAGCGCACCAATCCATTGATGGGGGTGCTAATGGTTTTGTGTTTCGAGCATTCACTTATTTAAATGGAATCTGGTGCATTATTATGATTATTATTTTTGTGTTTGTTTTTATTGTTATTTATGAACCCAGTCTTTCATGATGACATGATCCTCACTAGTCAGCCTCTAACCCAGTGGGACATCGTATGTCAGATAATTGTGTGAAAAATGCAGTTGAAATACGAAATGTTTCTGTAGAAATGTTGTCATTGTTGACATTGTGTACACCAATATCAAGACTTGACAGTGAAAAGCTGTGATCATTCCTACATCAATATCCATTACTAATAATAACCTAAGTAATTCTTGAGGCAGTAAGAAGTAAGTTGTTTATGAACATGATTAAAGGCATGTTCAAACAAACATGACACTAGTTTCCATCCACAATGATTCAGACCTGTGAAAATAGGTCTTCCGCAACCCATGCTTGCCCCAACAATGCTTGTAGTATGGGGCGACTAACGGGATCGGGTGGTCAGACTCGCTGACTTAGTTGATGCATGTCATCGTATCCCAATTGTGTGGATCGATGCTCACGATGTCAATCACTGGATTATCTGGTCCAGACTTGATTATTTACAGACCACCGTCATATAGCTGAAATATTGCTGAGTGTGGCGTTAAACACTAAACCAACCAATCAAATCAAAAATGAAATGTCGCAATTTAGTTGTTACTATGCACTGATTAATGTATAAGATATACTCTGATGGAGATATAAGATAATTTCTTGTTGTCATTCAAACAAACAAAACACAATGATACAGGGATAAACATGGATTAACGTTAAAATTATCATTTGATATAAGGAGGAAATTAAATCTCCAACATGTTCATCAAATTATGGTTCATACATTAAATGACATGACTAATGTTGAAATCAAAGGAACATTAGTTCCTCTCTGTTAATCAGGTCTATATTTTAATGTAATGGTATGAATAGGTACAACCAATATCGGTTTTTAATAGTCCATAAACATGGTACAGTCATTGACATTTCTTCTCTTCCAGAAAATGTGCAGAGATTGTAAACGTCAATTTTGCTCAACTTGTCTGCCAAAAGAGGCAAATAAACGTGATAGACAATGTCAAAAGTGCCGAATTATTGTCTCTGGGAACTTTAGCCGCCAAATCTTGCAAGAGTGGAAGGTCAAGGACATGAGATGTTTCCTTGACAGCCACAACATTCCAACCAATATGTGCCGTGAAAAACATGACCTCATTGACCTTGTGATACGCCACTACAGCCGAGGATCTGTTTCAAACTCAGAGGCTGAGCATGAAAGACTGGTGCAGCAGTTGGTGGTAAGACTTGCTTGTGTTGAGTAGAGTGGGAGGGATGTATAAATGTCAATCAACTCAGAGAGGTGGAGCTTGAGAGACTGGTGCAGCAGTTGGTGGTAAGACTTGCTTGTGTTGAGTAGAGTGGGAGGGATGTATAAATGTCAATCAACTCAGAGAGGTGGAGCTTGAGAGACTGGTGCAGCAGTTGGTGGTAAGACTTGCTTGTGTTGAGTAGAGTGGGAGGGATGTATAAATGTCAATCAACTCAGAGAGGTGGAGCTTGAGAGACTGGTGCAGCAGTTGGTGGTAAGACTTGCTTGTGTTGAGTAGAGTGGGAGGGATGTATAAATGTCAATCAACTCAGAGAGGTGGAGCTTGAGAGACTGGTGCAGCAGTTGGTGGTAAGACTTGCTTGTGTTGAGTAGAGTGGGAGGGATGTATAAATGTCAATCAACTCAGAGAGGTGGAGCTTGAGAGACTGGTGCAGCAGTTGGTGGTAAGACTTGTTTGTGTTGAGTAGAGTGGGAGGGATGTATAAATGTCAATCAACTCAGAGAGGTGGAGCTAGAGAGACTGGTGCAGCAGTTGGTGGTAAGACTTGCTTGTGTTGAGTAGAGTGGGAGGGATGTATAAATGTCAATCAACTCAGAGAGGTGGAGCTTGAGAGACTGGTACAGCAGTTGGTGGTAAGACTTGCTTGTGTTGAGTAGAGTGGGAGGGATGTATAAATGTCAGTCAACTCAGAGAGGTGGAGCTTGAGAGACTGGTGCAGCAGTTGGTGGTAAGACTTGCTTGTGTTGAGTAGAGTGGGAGGGATGTATAAATGTCAATCAACTCAGAGAGGCGGAGCTAGAGAGACTGGTGCAGCAGTTGGTGGTAAGACTTGCTTGTGTTGAGTAGAGTGGGAGGGATGTATAAATGTCAATCAACTCAGAGAGGTGGAGCTTGAGAGACTGGTGCAGCAGTTGGTGGTAAGACTTGCTTGTGTTGATTAGAGTGGGAGGGATGTATAAATGTCAATCAACTCTGAGAGGTGGAGCTTGAGAGACTGGTGCAGCAGTTGGTGGTAAGACTTGCTTGTGTTGAGTAGAGTGGGAGGGATGTATAAATGTCAATCAACTCAGAGAGGTGGAGCTTGAGAGACTGGTGCAGCAGTTGGTGGTAAGACTTGCTTGTGTTGAGTAGAGTGGGAGGGATGTATAAATGTCAATCAACTCAGAGAGGTGGAGCTTGAGAGACTGGTGCAGCAGTTGGTGGTAAGACTTGCTTGTGTTGAGTAGAGTGGGAGGGATGGATAAATGTCAATCAACTCAGAGAGGTGGAGCTTGAGAGACTGGTGCAGCAGTTGGTGGTAACACTTGCTTCTATTGAAGTTGAAGATGATGTATATGTCAATCAACTCAGGTAGGCGGAACTTGAGAGAGCTGTAAATCTGTTTGTCTACTTTCAAAGATGAATTTGTCTGCATCAGAGTTTATTTACAGGAGCGGATGAGAGAAGACAGTGTCCCCGATGTGCCCCCGACAGACACACAGAGAGACAGTGTCCCGTCTCCAGAGGAACCCATGCAGGTACTCAGGTTACTCCCACCATCAGCACTGATCAGTGGTGATTCAAACATTGAAGCCTCGAGGAAAGATTTAGGACCCACTTATAAATATCCAGCGAGTGCTGATCTTGTGTGCTGATAATTTCAAGTGAGAGGCTCACATTGTCTTGCTGTTTTTAAGCAAACAACAGAGATGTTTTCGATGACAAGTTCTCAACTGATATGACTGCAGAACCATTGTCATGAACTCTCAATAAATTCTGAAGTAGTACCACTTTTTCATTAATTTACAGGACCCTCATATTTCCTGTAAGGACTCTTGAAATTAATTATTGGAGGTCCCTGGATGTTAAAAGATGGTACTTGTTGTTACCCTGTCTGGCACTCGGCATTAAGGGGCTAAAACAAGGACTGGTCGGCTCGGAGTCAGTATACTGCACTATAAATAGGCATCAGTCCCGACTAGTACAAGCAGCCACACAAACACACACATGTACATGCTATATAAGTGTAATAATCTTGGACACGACGTTAAACCCCATTTCACCTCACCTCTTTGCTTTTGGTAAGACCCACATGACATAGCACCACAGTTTAGCTCTAATAATGAAATGCGTCACAATCAGCTTTGACCTTTGGGTAACACACAGCATAATATTTTCTTGAATTATTTCCAATGGGGATCCTGGATTAGAATTTGTCACCAGCAACCTCTGGTCGTAAGAGGCAGCCAAATGAATTGGGTGGTCAGACTCGGTGACTTTGTTGATGGTGTGTCATCATACCCTAATGGCTTGGATCATTGCTCACAATATCGATCACTGGACTGTCTGGTCCAGACTCGATTATTTACAGGCTGCCATCATATTGCTGGAATATAGCTGAGTGTGGTGTTCAACAGGAAACAAACAAAGTCAAATAATTGTTGTTGTTTTTTCCTTCATTCAGGAGCTTTGACACTGGTGTTGTGTTCAGAAAGGTTATTCCTCATGTGGCATATTTAGGTCACATATATTTATTAAAAGATTATGTATATTCATAAACATGATAATTTATTGGACCCATGAAAATCGGGTTAGAATAGGTCTTCAGCAACCCATTCTTGCCATAACAGGCGACTATGCTGGTAAGAAGCGACTATCCGGATCGGGTGGTCAGGCTTGCTGACTTGGTTCATGCATATAATTGATCCCAATTGCAGACCACCGTCATGTGGCTGGAATATTGCTGAATGTGACGTTAAACAACATACAATAAAAAAGATAATTTATTGATATAATGACAGACATTTGTTCTGCCAAATGCCTCACTGAATTGAGTAGTAGACATTTTTTTGTCCTGTTGAACACATCTGAAATATTAGGTTGAAATATAACTGTGAATGTCTCGCACATGGGTATTGCAGGAGTCGCCAACGTTAGACCGAGTCCCACGTATGAGGCTTGAAAATATTGCCTCCGTGGAGGAAGTCGACACACTGACGGTCAGGCAACTCAAAGAGGTCCTTGCAAACAACTTTGTCGATTACAAGGGGTGTTGTGAAAAGACGGAACTCACTGATAGAGTGAAGCGGCTGTGGAATGAAGAACAGTCCAACAAAGACAAAGGTAAACAAGGAATTATTCAACGCGACATTCGGTATATTCTGTCCAAATACAACCTGCCTGCTTTGGCGCACATCATATCTTTATATGGGGTTGTATACTCCCCGGGGAGCTGAGGATGAATGGACACTGATACATTGACAGGAGTAATATTGTAGCCCTTGCTACAGGCATGGAGAGGTTCCATTTTGAAACATTTCAAAAAGAGTTTCAGCAGCCTCATCTAAGTGAAGAACACAGCCTTTGGGACAGAAAAAAGAGGCACTGGGGTAGCTCAATGATGAAAGCGTTGGCTTGTAACGCCACAGTGCTGGGTTAAACATCCCACGTGTGTACAATACATGAGTTCCAGTTCTAGTGTCCCCAAATGTGACATTGCTGGCTCATTGCAATATTAGAACGTTATGAACATACTTCATGTCACAGAAGTAATGCTGGAGAAGAAACAGTTCTGAATTTTCCTTACTGTGCCATAGAACACTTGCAGAAAAGTGTAACCATTCCTGTCCTAGAGCACAGCCGTGGTCTAGTGGTAGAGCTTCCGTCCTGAGAGCGGAAAGTCCGCGGTTCGATCCCCGGCCACGTCATACCAAAAGATGTTAACAGATGGTACTTGTTGTTACCCTGTCTGGCGTATACTGTGTCTGAGTGGGGTATTCATGTTAAACTGTGGCATGGTCTCAGTACCCGGGCTAGCACTATAAATTGGCATCAGTCCGGACTAGTACATGCAGCCACACACCCACACAAACGTGCATGTACGTTGCTATATACGTGCAATAATCTTGGACACGACATTAAACCCCATTTCGCCTGACCTGTTAGAGAGCAGGTCAGTGGAGCTGGTTTTGGGTCATTGTTTAGTCCCTTCTTACATTTCTTTCCTCAATTTGCAGCTGAAAAGATGAGAGAGAATGCAGATAAATTAAGTAAGTATAAATAGTGTTCTGTGGTCATTGATCGAATGGCTGTCTATCAAGATGGCCATCCTTTGGTCGGTTTAAGCCTTGTTCCAACATTATTTCATCTAGTTTATATGTGTCATGATGTATTGGCCCAATAACTCCTCCCATTGAATACGGCTCTTAAATATGACATGTTCGACTTCTAATATGTCCTACTAAATTTTTTTTTTAAAAACACCCCATTTTTTTATATGACTATAGTTGGTCTTTCATGGTATGACTGATTAACTATAGTAACATGAAAACATTTGGTTTTCTTCAAGTTCTTTTGAGTAGTACAGAGCTACAGATAAGCAGTGTATTTGCATAAAATACCCCCCCCCCCCCCCCAAAAAAAAAAAACCCAACAATTTTTTTCAGTTAACTTGCATACAGAAGCGCATGCGTTAAATGAAAAACTCTAATGTATAAAAACAGTGCGCTTAAATACCCAATGAAGCTTTTTCAGCATGCGTGCAAATTTCCGAAACACAGTTACGAGCTAATTTACTTTCAGTTAAGCCTATATATTTAGAACAGTTATATACATCTGAAACATTATTTCATTTTTTTTTAAATCTTAAAAGGGTCACTAATTTGGATAAAACTCAATAGAGTGATGAATAGATGAGTGAATAAATATTGGTTTTCCAATGAAAAATGTAATAACCCAATTAAGATAGAAAGCCTTGAGTATAAACTCAATTGCTCAAAAGGTTATCTGGAGCTCTGGTAGTATATGTAATATATTTTATCACATTCCTTTCAGTGATATGATGCTCTTGGCATGTGCAATAGAGCCAACATGGAGATAGTCATATCACAGGGGGTGTAATAACCTGACCCGTATCTGATAAAACTTATCAAGCATTTTGGATGGGCAATTGATATCAGCCTGGGTGGTAAGAAATTAGAGTGATGTCCCTTGTCTGTGTGTCTGCTCAGCTAGCTATCAGAGACAATGTTTTCCAAACGATGAAAAAGTATTGCATTCCCTTTCAAACAGAAACATTTTACCATTTGATGTTATGATATATGATAAAAAGATTATTATATGGCAGTTTCCATATCATACCTCACATCAACCCAAGACAGCTGATATGGGGTCTTGGATTTGATATGGGGTAAGATATGAAAACTGCCACATGATAACCTCTGAGTATTGAACATGCTCTTGATAAGAACATTCAACATTACATCCGTGTATTAGTTAAATGTCAATTTGTTATAAAATCCCCCCCCCCCAAAAAAAAAAGAAGACAAAAAGACAGACAAAAAACAGCAAATACCTTATTATCCCATGCCACTAGAAAAATTTGAATTTGAATTTGATTTTTTTCTGGTTTCCATGATAAAAAATTGGACTTAAGTTCAATCCGTGAAGGGTTTACTTACATCGTGAACCAATTGCATTTCCATACATGTCTTTCAAGTGGTCAACTAGCGACTTCACAGTTTTACAGTGTCGTTTGTTTTGTAATTCAATAAAAGCAAAAGGAAAACCCCAGAGAATCTGAGGTTAACCAGCCTACTCAGCTGGCAAAGGGTATCAGTGAGCTTACAGCATGTTAATCAGGTTTTGATTAAGTGTCATTCACTCTTTGGACCATCTTCCTGGGGCAAGGGATTTAACTGACTATACAAGTCCAGTTTCCATCCTTGCCGAACTAGACTGGAATTATGGAGTTATATTTTTGCTGGGCTAACGAGTCTGTGTATTAGTAAGACCTGTTTTATTACGATATAGATCTTGATTATCGATGAGATCGTCTTCACTGGGTGATGCCATTTTGTTTGAAGCAAGTGCAAGTGATATGAGGTGGAATCTGATTGGTCAATAGGAGGGATATAGAAGGGACTTAACTCGTAATAGCCACTTGCGGCACTGCGATTGAGCCAAGAAATTCCAGACTAGTTCACGAAGATGGAAACTGGACTTAAATACTCAGTTAACTCCTTTTCCTCGGAAAGATGTCTTTGCCATTTTAGAACAAGTCCCGGTTAAAGACATTCCTTTCACTTTTTGTCACAGTTACTTCTTCCTTTCCAGCAGGGACAACCACCAGTTCTGAGCAGGACCTGTGTAAGATATGCATGGACAATACTATAGACTGTGTTCTACTGGAGTGTGGTCACATGATCACGTGCACATCCTGCGGCAAGCGCCTCGCCGAGTGCCCCATGTGCCGACAGTACGTGGTGCGCGTTGTTCACACGTTCCGGTCATAGCCCTCGTCGCGGTTCCGGTCACAGCACAACCCTCATCATCAGCCAGTCATCTCTTGTCAACCTTCATCAACTATTTTTATAATGTATGACAAATATTTTCTTTCTTTACATTTATAAGCAAGCTATTTGTGTGAATTGAGTTATCAAAGGATATTTTTTTGTGAAGTACGTGTAGTAATGAAAATGCATGGCATTTAAGGATTTTAGAATGTGTGTACGAAATGCTTCATCGGGAGATGAAAAACGGACATTTGTTTTTTCATAATTCTACTCGTTGACATGATGAAAGTATTGCTGCGTCAATATTTTGAGTATTTATTTATTTTGTTTATGAGAGCAAAGACACATGCAACCCTTGTCAAACATGTGCTAGCCATCATGTCCATTCTCGGCAACTCGGTGCAATCATAATCTTCACATCTTGAAGACAATTAAGGCATCCAAGGCCCCACAATTCACTCTGCAGAGCGGTGCCTGAATCTGACGATTGTGAGTTTAGATCCCAGATATGTCCTGATTATGGTTTGTAAGCACCAACCCATTAGTCAAGGGGGCACGGGTGGCCCAGTCGTCTAAGGCGCCTCGATTCGCTGTGCAGAGTTGCATTCCTTGGGCACACCAGAAACCTATTATTGTGGGTTCGAATCCCGTTTCGCTCTGATTATGTTTCTAGGTTTGTCAGAACACTACCCGTGCTCGTGGGTTTCACCGAAGTGGTAAACGTCTGTGACCTGCATCACTTCGGGCTTTCCTTCCACATTAAGCTGACACGCCGTGATATAACTGGAATAATGTTAAAAGCGGCGTTAAACCCAACTCACTCACTCATTGGTCAAGCTTTCCTCCCACATTAAGCTGGCCTGATATAACTGAAATACTGTTAATCAATGCTTACTCAAGGATAATGCGGGGTCTGAGAGTACACCTTGTTATCTAAAAAAAAACCTAGATACTCACATTGATGGGGGCGGTCGGGTAGCCTAGTGGTTAAAGCGTTCGCTCGTCATGCTGAGACCCGGGTTCTATTCTCGACATGGGTACAATGTGTGAAGCCCATTTCTGGTGTCCCCCGCCAGAATATTGCTAAAAGCGGCATAAAATCAAACTCACTCACTCACTCACATTGATGCCTTGCAGGACCTAAGTTATCACTGCTTTGTAAGACCATATTGCTCTTTTTAAGAGGAAACAGGAACTTTGTAAAACTTATTGTTAGATTGCTACATGTTTGCACAACAAGATGGGGGTGTTACTAGAGATGGGGTGTTACTAGAGATGGGGGTGTTACTAGAGATGGGGTGTTACTAGAGATGGGCTGTTACCAGAGATGGGGGTGTTACTAGAGATGGGGTGTTACTAGAGATGGGCTGTTACTAGATTTGGGGAGTTACTATAGATGGGGGTGTTACTAGAGATGGGCTGTTACTATAGATGGGCTGTTACTAGAGATGGGGTGTTACTAGAGATGGGCTGTTACTATAGATGGGCTGTTACTAGAGATGGGCTGTTACTAGAGATGGGGTGTTACTAGAGATGGGCTGTTACTATAGATGGGCTGTTACTAGAGATGGGGTGTTACTAGAGATGGGGTGTTACTAGAGATGGGGTGTTACTAGAGATGGGGTGTTACTAGAGATGCCAAGAATGTTTCAGTACAGCCACCCAATAAACACAATCCTCATTCTCTATATCTCCAGGGTTTGTATTTCTTACACTATCCTACACTATCCCCGGGATCCATTCCCGTGATCTCAAATTACCCACCCTTGATGTTCATAATTTGATTGCTCCTCTATTCAGTCTAACTAACCAATCAGAATGCGAGTTACAAACCTGCCTCATCTCTAGTACGTGCATGAGATCTCTTGTAAATAAACTGTTTCTGTATTCAAATTGTTTGTGCATATATCCTTTTCTTTGAGAACTTCTGTGTTAGATGATACAATGATGTACACTGACATCTATTTGTTAGTGTTTTCAATGACACCTTGATGGCAGATTGTAATGTTATATATATTCTATTTATGAGTGAGAACTAAGTAGTGTACATAGGAAATTCTAAGCGTGAAGAAACGATGCACTGTTTTAACACTGATCGCCAACATAGGCAGTAATAAACAAACACACATTTTTAGAAAAGTGAGGTGGAAGACATATCCTTTATTATCTTATCATCTTTATTTGAAATTATTCTAATAGTTCAGGTTTCCATGGTTACAGGAAAAGATTACTTGTGATATAACCCATATGGCATACCAAGCAAGATTGGTATTGTGAAATATTGCAGGGATGAACTCATGTCATGTATTGACGCCTTCGACATCCTCTCCCCAAACCTTCCTATCACAGCCAGAGACTCAGGCAGCCAGTTGTCTACGGTGCCGCAATTTAACCGTGCAGAGTTACATCCCTTATGCAAGGGTTCGACTCCTAGATTCGCAATGATTACGTTTGTAGGTTTATCAGAAGCATACCCATGCTTGTGGGTTTCACCAAAGTGGTAAACATCTGAAACCTGCATTAGTGCAGGATTTCTTCCACATCAAGGTGACATGCAGTGATATAATTACAATGAAATACTGTTCAAAGCAGCATTAAACCCAACTCACTCATTCACTCACTCACTCACTCACTCACTCCATCCCACTCCTAAACAGTATTGACCAAAGCCCAACCATGCTAACATAGCTTATACTTTCTGATGATGTTGAGGTGGATATAAGGATAATTTCACAGGTTAAATATTGCTGCTGAGGCAATTAATTTTTCTTTGCTGGTTTACGGATTTGCTGACATTAAAAGTAGCAATGAAAAAATATTTTCAAACCTCTGACTCGAATTGTATAATGAAATAAGAAATATTACACAAATTGTTGAAAAATGGATTTATTGTGAACTACAAAATACATAGCATAATGTTTACCATAAGAGTTTGAAGCCGTGTTGACTGGTAAAAGTTATGTCCCTTTGATATGACATATCAGTCTGCATAGTTGTTTGGGCATGGAAAGGGTGACATTGACATGGCTTCATTGTGAATGCAGTTGATGGGCAAAAATTTAGGAAATTCAGGGTCATTTGAAGACAGTTATATTTTATAGTTTTTGACCACCGGCATTGTAAAGACAAAACAAACCAACTAAAAAGAGTAATCTCCTAAGTAGAGAACTAACCAAACCAAATTCTTTTTCTTTGGAGACTTGCATGAAGAACTGCATAATTATATGATTATCCTATTTTCTGAATTTCAGCATAGATAACAATCATATAATTGTAAAAGACTTTAATATCGTAACTAAAATATGTACATGCTATATATGCAGGCCCTCCTATCTATTGAAAAAAAAGTGTTGAATGGGTTTAATAAATGGCGTATTGGTAGCATTGCTTCTCTTTTGGAAACAAATGCATTTATTTTTCAAATGAAAAGAAACAGTATAGAATTTGACAGAGGTCGGATGCGGAATATGTGCACAGCTGCTATGGGGAAATTAGGTCAAGTTCATTGAAATAACTTTGACTGCATCTGTCAAAAGCTGACCGTAGCTAATTGACGAAACTGTTTCCAGAAAAACAGCATGCGAGAAATGGCAGCGATAAACAAATAAGTGACAGCGAAGTAATTTCTTTTGGTTCATCCGTTTAGAAGTCTTGACTGTAAAGTATAAAATTCATGGCATTAATATTATTGTTTAGGTGTCAATAAGATGCAGACTAATTCCTTAATGTCGACATTGATTGACGGAATGTTTTATTAACCATGTTATATCAACAGTTGTTGGGCAGATACTAGATCTAGCTCTAAGACGTAAACAGTGAAGTAAATTATGCGTGAAGTAATTTATCTAGCCAATGACTGATAAGCTTTACATTAATAATGAATACAAAATAGATTTTTGCTGAAAATGAGTAATCTGTATAGGGGGAATTATTGTTTACATTCAATGCACATGAAGTTCTTAATAAAAGTTACATTCTCTGTAAACAAGTCTTGATTAAAACACTTCACCATATCTCTTCTCTGCTACTGTCATCCATGTTTCGCTCGCTGTGGCGAGTGTTGTTGTAGTCGGTGAAATGCGGAATTTACAGAAGCGACCGAATATGTCCGGTTGCCAATGCTGTCGGTTTCAATAGCAGCTCTGTGGTGATTCCAATGAGAACCATTGTTACGACGATAGTTTATGCATTTATGTTGCATTTGAAACAATTCCTTCGCACTTAGAAGCTATACATTTATTCCGATGATGTATTCTTTTCATTCAAATAGATAGGAGGGTATGATATGAACTTTTTTTTAGTTGAGTTTTCACTTTCCACCTATCACACATTCTTGTTCTGTTGATTTTAGTGGTGGTGCTGGCCTTGGAAAGTTATTGTGAATTATTTTAATGTTTATGTGATATTTTTGTTTTATAGATTTTGTTCAGTTTATTTTGTCCGTTTATTGCATGACCTGGCCATTTATGAACATGTCATGGCATTAAGTATTAAGATATCTGCTCGTATTAACCCAGTTGCTCAAATATGACTACAGGATGTACCGTGTTGTAATGTATATTTGAAATCCAAATTCATGTGTTTCCCAAAATATTTTGATATAATCATTATCTTTCTTGCTGTGGATGCTATCCTTTGCTATTCAAAGCATTTCAATTTTTAAGAAAACCTATTTGTTTAAGAATTATGCAAGAGTCTTGCTTGTGCTTTAAAAATATGAAGGACCAATGTGTTTGAAGTAGGTTTCATTTGGTGTTCAGTTTTAAGACCAAATTAATCATGTTAATGAGCTGTGTATTCAATATATGCTTTTGAAAATGGTTGTTGTGAAAGAGCTTTTGAATCAGAGTATGTATCAGCTAAACTTTTGATAAACTACGATGGTGGCATTGGTGATGTATTTCTTTGAGGTCAGCCTCGTTTGTTCAAACAATTATTTTGGCTGACTTGTTATACTTTGTGACAATCTTCTCTTGCTTGATCTGTTGAAAGACTCTATGGTGCTATTGGAAAGATTTTGTTGATTGAAATATTTTGTGGACGACATTTTAGATTATGAAGGTCATATAGGCCACCTGAGACATAGAGAAGATGTAAACACTTTGATAACGTTCTTGTAAATGAAGCTGCTCGCACATAAATGTTTGTATATATCGGGAAACCTTTGACAGGAAATTTGTTTTATACGTATGAATACTAGTTATGAATTATATGAATAATAAAATGATAGAAGAGCAGCCTGTTGTGAAGTCGGGAAGACTGAATGACTGTACTTTATTAAATCTTATACAGCTGAAACTTTTACAATCTCATTAAAATCAGATCCAAGTTCTCGCTGCCGCTAAACAAAGATCTGAGGACATCTTATTAGAGGTCACGTCAGAACGACCTTTCGCCAACTTTGACACCACTGAAATGACTATCAAGAAAGTGACATCAGCCAATTAGAAAGCAGCTTTCCAGATTTAAGGCACTAGGCTTGAAAGATATGTTGACACAGTTCTCGATTAAAATTTTGAAAAATTAACAAACGAACATTCCAGAAGGTCTAATATATGGTTGCGGTTGTATGGCAGTGCTTCCCACGTACTGTGCAATGCCTCCTCCGTTCACATGTTTATTCCACGGAAGCGAGAGATAGACTATAATTTTGATGGAACCGACTGT